TTCTTTGGAAAAATGTCTGTTCATGTCTTCTGCCCATTTTTTAAATTGGATTATTTGTTTTTTGGTTTGATATATAAATTCTTTATATATTTTGGATACTAACCCTTTATCAGGTGTGTCATTTGCAAATATCTTCTTCCATTCCGTAGGCTGTCTTTGCTGTGCAGAAGCTTTTTATTTTGATGTAGTCCCAATAGTTTATTTTTGTTTTTATTTCCCCTGATTCAGGAGACATATCTAGAAAAAAGTTGCTATGGCCGATGTCAGAGAGATTACTACCTGTGCTCTCTTCTAGGATTTTCATGGTTTCAGGTCTTGCATTTAGGTCTTTCATCCATTTTGAATTTCCTTTTGTGTATGGTGTAAGAAAGTGGTTCAGTTTCATTCTTTTGCATGTAATTTTCCAGTTTCCCCAATACCATTTGTTGAAGAGACCATTCTTTTCCCTTTGCATATTTTTGCCTCTTTTGTTGAAGATTAATTAAGCATGTAATCATGAATTTATTTCAGCGTTCTCTATTCTGTTCCATTGATCTATGTGTCTATTTTTGTGCCAGTACCATACCTTTTTGATTACTACAGCTTTGTAGTATAACTTGAAACCTGGGATTGTGATGCCTCCAGTTTTGTTCTTCTTTTTCAAGATCGCTTTGGCTATTTGAGGTTTTTTTTGTGGTTCCATTACAAATTTTAGGATCATTTGTTCCAGTTTTGTGAAAAATATGGTTGGTGTTTTGATAGGGATTGCATTAAATCTATAGATTGCTTCAGATAGTTTCGGACATTTTAACAGTATTTGTTCTTCCAATCCATGAGCATGGAATATCTTTCCATTTGGTTGTGTCATCTCCAGTTTCTTTCATCAGTGTTTTATAGTTTTTTATAGTCTTTCACCTCCTTGGTTAAGTTTATTCCTAAGTATTTTATTATTTTTGGTGAAATTGTAAATGGGATTGCTTTCTTAATTTATCTTTCTATTGCTTAGTGTATAGAAATGCAGTGGATTTCTGTACATTGATTCAGGATCCTGATGGGGGTTCTTTTAGGTAAGTTGGCCAAGGAAGGCCAGCCTGGGAAGGTGACATAAAGGAGAAGAAGAATGGGAGCATGGGCAAAGATTCCAGGGTGGGAGGACGTGCCTGGCATGTTAGAAGGAATGGGAAGGTGTGGCTGGGGGAAAATGAGGTGTGGTTGGAGAGGAAGTCACAGAGGCAGGCAGGGGACACGGCCCACAGGCCCTGAGGCTGTGGTGAGGAATTTGGCTTTTATTCTAAGTGACACATGAAGCTATTAATGGTTTGGGCAGTGGGATAATAGCTGATGGATGTTTTACAAAGATCCTTCTGGCTGCTGTGAAATGAACAGACTGTCAAGGGGTAAGAGTGGAATTGAGGGTGA